TATAAGTTTTGTCAGCATATACATCTTTCTTAAACCAGACTAGTAACATCTTTTTATTAATTAAATGTGTTTTAATGTAACAAAGAATAATGTGGTTTACATTGCGCTGTACTTCAATGGGGAAACAAATCGCCTTCCTGCACAATTCACTTCCTAGGTTGACGTTGCGTTAAGGGTCACTAGGGGCGCAGCCGAACTAGTTAAACAATTAGAACACATTTGTCACTTTATCTCTATCATTACAATTTAAAGAAAATGAAAAACCCGATATCAATAATATATTTTCTCCCTTTCAGGCATCTTTTTTGACGTCATCACGATACATCGTTTAATTTCAAAACAGTTCATTATCACCTTCGTGCCTATTAAATTAAATTCAATTCAAAATAAATTTATTCCAAATCTTTTCAAAGCAAAGATAAACAGTACAGATATAAAAATGCTAGTTTTGAGCAGTCAATATACATACCTAATATTGTTCTCCTGTGATTCGATTTTCAGCAATTATTAATGCAAATCTCTAATAATAGGCCTATAACTGCATATTACCTATATTAATATCGGTTATTTTATTATTATATTATTATTAATATTGTTGCCATTATTATAGTCCTAATTAATTTATTATTATCATCGTATTATTATTTATCCTTATTAAGTGTTAAATATATAAAATAGGCCTATCTTAACAGTTCCGTAGAGACTACCCATCTTCAATTATATTTCATCGAATAGTTATTTCATTATACTCTAGTTATTATGTTATTATCGTTGTCATTATTATAATTTATTTTTATTATTTGCCTTTGAAAGTTTACCGAGAAATAGTGCAAGTTTCCAACATACATTCAATGCAATACGGTAAGTGTTTGAATATATAAAAATAAATATCTTTAACAGTTCCGTTTAGTTTAAAGAACGCTCATCTCCAATTATATCTCATCAAATTGTTGTAGACTTGTTAAAGGACCGCTTCAAAAGACGCCGCCAGCCTCGCAATATTTTCACAATGGTGATGACTTGAAAATAAGCGAAGCATAACTCGACACAACAGAATCATGCCTCCATAACAGAACCAATCGGAAGTGTGAATTATCACTTTTGATAGATATAAAGGCGGAATGACTTATCGCTTCACCTGTAATCGGGCTTATATCTTCCTTATATTAAATCTACGCATTTTCTTAAGTTCTGTATTTCGTGATTGTTATATCTCAAATATCCTTACACTAATCAATATGTATAATTGGATCATTTCCCATTTGCTAATTCTATAAAGGCCTACTTGAAACAGTGAGCCCGCGTTTTATTATTTACCTCTAGTAAGTAATCCGACATTTCCTTTTTTTCACTGCTTCTTTGTTGATGCATTCAATGGCAAAATGTGATTTAAGAGAATTCTGTAGCTGTGACTTCCAGGGCGTGAACTTAATCTGCACCACAACATGTTAACCATGATGTGTTAAGTGTTTCATTTTATAACCACTTTTTATCGAATGTATAACGTTATTGTCAAACGCTCGACTTTAAGGCGATGTTTTTAATCAGTGATGTGGTTTAATAGGCAAAAGTACGTTTGATTGAACCGGAGGTGCTCATTGTGGGGACGATACTTATTATTAAGTAGAACTTGGACTATGCTTAGAATTATGTTATTTTAGGAAACGTCACTCTTGAAATAATCCCGGATATGATGTTGATGGGCCCATAACATCTACTTCTGGACCATCAGCAGGAGAGGAATATCATTTATTTATTTCTTTCCTTTTATGCTTATAATAATGTTATTTGTTACTAACAATCAATCATTGCAATTATGCGGTTTGATACAAAATGAGTTTCATATTTATATATAAGGACGGTTTTGAATAGAAAGAGCATGCACTTTAAAATTGAAACAAATATAAAATTTTGAGACCGGGTGTTGGTAAACCATTTATTAGGCCTACTCATGCATTAAATGTGCATTAATAGCGATAATCATGATGTAAATATATCAAATGGCTCAGTACGAAATTTGTGTTTATGGTGAAAAATAAACCCATGCCATCGCGAGTTTCTATAGCCTGATATCATCAAGACTATAAAGCTTAAACTGGTGGCTAGGGTTGGATTGATCCCAAATGAAATCAGTAAACAAGTCATCTTTGATTTCCTGGGCCAAATTTCTGTTTTATATCTTAAATATAGCGTATTTATTCGAATGAACGCCCCGGGGCGTTTATTCGAAGGAGGCTTTTTTGGGTGTAAAATAGATACGTATCTTAAATAAACGGCCCTTCATTCCACTGTAAATGTGGGACTATACATACAACAAATAATTACCGTCAAAATTTGTTATTTCGTGATCATAAAGATTGACTGATCCCAACCACGTTACAAAAATGTGCGGTAATACTAATGGAGTAGAACATCAATATAATGTGTTTTTCCATTAGATTTGTTTATACAGCCTTTTAGACGGGTGGGGGCGTTTAATCGAGGGAAAATAAACGCCTAGTGGCGTTTATTCAAGTTGGGGAGGGGAGTTTATTTGAATAAAAACGGTAATTTATAGATTATATCGCGCTTTTTACATACACTTCGAAGTAGAAATCAAATATTTCTGGTCACTGAAAAAATCCAAAGAAGTTTTCCACGTCTACATTTTTGGGAATGGGCAGGTCTGTTAGTTGAAAATACAGCACAGAACAAATACATTTAAGAGTAAATACATTTGTATCCTATACAACCTTAGGGGGTAGGTCTACTTATTTATGATCTAGTGAATAGATGGAGACAAAAGCAAGGTTAGTTTATTTCACGAGGATAACAGGTCAATGAACAACATAGGATTCGAACTCTGACCACATGTTTACAGTGTGTTCGAATCGTAGCAGCTTCCCCAACCGCCCATTGTAATAATTCATCATAAAAGTGGTTGCCACTAAGGCAAAAAATCATCCGGCTGTTTTGATTGGCTAATAGTTCAGGTTTCCTGTTATGGTTAGAGATAGTAGAGGGCGCTATGTAAAATTGTGAAGACGACTTCTTATAATCAAGGAGGTAATTATTATTAACTTATTGATTAGTCATACACACACAGACACACAGACACACACACACACACACACACACACATATATATACTGTCTCTTATCCTCCACAGATTAATCACTAGTCTTGTGATGGCGTCGGTCCAAATTACGCCCGACATTACTGGTACGTTTGCTATATCAAAAAATTAAAATACACACTTCGCGCCAAGATGAATTTGTAGACAATACGGGCTCGAGATTAGTTGGGACAGTCTTTTACATTAAAAAAAAATTGACAATTTAAATGATTTGAAAGTAAGTTTGACATTATGTTAGAGCAATAATTTTTACCATAACGTTGATTTTTCGTTGACAATATTTGATAATTGTGTATAGGGTAACTTGAAATAAGAAAGTTGTGTTTGTGTTTTAGAAATATCCAAAATGGTGGGCGATAATTTTCTGTTCAGATAGTTATGTTTTGTTTTATTACTTAATGAAATCGGATAACAATATTTTTTTTGTAAAGTAAGTACAAGTTTCTTTTAATCGTTATGAAAACCCAACCATGTGTTGTTAATTTTGAATAAGGTCTATTAGAGTGCGTAGAAGTCCGAATTTAGCTATGAAATTTATTAACAAACCGGTATACGTTTTTTTTTATGATAGACTGAGGTTATTAATGAGTTATGAACCGAGTTATCTAAAATAATGTCAAGAAAGAGTAATTTTTTGTTAATACTCCTTTTCCATGTGAATCTAATTGTACTAAGGTTTCTTTGTATTTGGATTCGCTGTAATGTTTGATCTTTTAATGTGTTGCTGAATTTGGGGTTGGGTAAACCGGCTTTGCTACAGTGATTTGGTTCACTCTGGTTGTCCCTAGTCTCCCCAAATTTTAGCTTTTTTTAATTTTTTTTTTTAGCCGATCTCTTTTTGTTGTTTTTGTAAATGACCAAATAAATAATGAAATGAAATGATGGGTGTTGTGAATTTTAAAAATCGAAAAAAAATTGTCCGCATCGTGAATTAAATAAACAAAACACATCATCGACATAACGTCGGTTAAAAAAAAAACGGGTGCATGAGGGTTTATCCAGGATTATTCATGGTGTTTCATGAAAAGGTTAGCTAGGACTGGTCCCAGTGGAGAGCCCATTGAGACTCCATCGATTTGGTCATAAAATTCATTATCAAAAAGAGTTTTAGAGGTACAAAACATAAAGAGCTTCTTAAGATCTTCCCTAGATAATTTACAATCAGTATTATTTGTGAGGATATAATCAATAGCTAATGAAATTGAATCGTTTAATGGGATGTTGAAGCTTTCAACATTGTACGATACTATAAATTTACTTAAGGTATCTATACTGTTAATTTCTTTAACAAAAGCAAATGTGTCAATAGCAATATAGTCAGACAGTAAATTAGGACTTAATATTTTGCAAAGATATTTGGCAAGGTTGTAATTATAGGTATTAGTAGATGAGACAATAGGACGAAATTTTGGAATGGCATTAGGAAGTCTACACTTATGTAACTTAGGAAGTCCATAAAATCTTGGAGGTTGTGAACCACTTGGATAAATGTTCTTGTAAAGTTCAACAAACAACTCATTAAAATATCACTCTCTCATTCTAATTCCTATATACATGACTTACCATAGTATTCCTAACCTCTATATACATGACTTACCTTAATGTTTGCTTGTTTTGTCTTATATCTGACCGATAATATTTAAACTGCTAGTAGCATAAGCGATATTATGATGATGACGTGGGATGATACGTCGAAACATGTCGTTCATAAATGTTATATACTTTATTAGATGCATTACTGCATTTGTATATATAGGCTATATATATACACATATATATATAAACCCGTTATATATATAGGCCTATATTTATATACTGCATATATGTAAATAAATCTTACTTATATGAATATAATACACTCACGAAAGGAAATAATGATGTTATATTCGTATTAAGTCATAGAACTTTAATGGAAAAGTTCACTGTCGCTTATTTAAAATAAATAAAAAAAATAAAATAAAATAAAAACACTTCACTCGGCAGGGTTCTAACTTGCAACCTATTGCTTTCGTAGCAAGTAATATACCGGTATGCCTTTAAAAGGTTAAGCCAGAAACTATCTTATATGTTTGCGTCGCAAACGGAACGTAGTTGAAACTTAATAAGGAAATCAGATGTGTTGCGTTGCAATGCAAGCATATTTGATACTGATAGAAACAGTGCTTAAATAAAATTGATCGTACTGTATATCATAAAATAAAAATCCCCTAGGCCTACGAGTATATTTAAAATTATTATAATATTAACAATAAACTTTGTCTCTGTCAGTTCCATACAGAAACTTAAATTCTTGCCTCTGTTGTTGGCAGACGTTTTACTGAAAATTGTTTCAAAGAATTCTATATTCGCTACAAAATTATTAAAAATCGCTAATTTAATTGTTATTTTATTTTGTATTGCCCACTTTAGAACTCTCAACTTCGTTTACAATTTCAATATCTAATCCGTATGTCACATCATAGCCTATGGAATCAAACAGGTCACAATTGTCTGTTTTATAGTCAGTTAGCTGTTCGTTAATGGGTGTAACTAAACGAATTTGGGCCATGCCATCTTCTACGGTAAACTCAGGCCACGTTGTGAACTCTGGATTGTAATTTGACGTGGATTTCTCCCCAACTTTATTCGGATCCCCTGTATGGGCAAAGTTTGTCCAATAGTATATCATACTATCAGATAGCAGCAATTCCTCAGTTGTATATACATAGCCCAATTCTCCAGCATTTTGAAATATGAAGGGTAGATCACCGCCATGACATACCTTACCATAACAGTAAGACATTCCCGGGCCCCAGGCCTCCTCAAAGGAGACTGCATGAGCGAATTCATACATATACACAGCAGACTGTCCGTTTTGTTGAGCATTAAGTAATGCATATCGTGATGAACAGGCAAACACTAAGTCAGTAGTGATGTCTGTCAGAACGTCGCGCTGATCACCACCAAACAGCTGGAACGGATAGAGAAGCGATATTTTCAACGCGTTAGCACCAAAGAGGCCAAACAATATCGTATTTGCCAAAGCTGTTGGAACTTCAAATGGCAGTAACTGATAAACGTATGGCAACGCATCCTGACTTAAAGCTCCTATAATCATTGGCTTGTCTTGGAAGCTGTTCTGTGCATATGCTTCGAGTGGGTGCATAGCGATCTCAGTGCCATCGATTACGGGACCCCAGTATTCGAAATTCTGTAGCAGGTCTGTGTAATCGACGTTACTTGCCACCACCAGTTGTGCTTCATATATGTCATAAGATGAACAAGAACGTAGGCAATCGATATCGCTGGGAATGCAACCCAGGACGTCTGCTAACTGCACTCCAATTTCGACGGCACTTGCTCGATCACGATAGGGCAGTGTGAACGGATTGCTCTGCATGATAGACCGATGGAAGAGGTTGGCACTGTCTGGTGACGACATATGTATGGCAATTGACTGTGCTCCAGCACTTTGACCGAATAATGTTACCTACAAGAATAAAGAAGTACCAAGGATGTATTTAGTAGCAGGTACGGTACGTTTGAATGTCTCCAGAGAAGTTTCCTAAAATTCTGCATAGCTAGTTAATAGATAAGGCTTAGATAAGCTCTAAATCGTTTGTGGTAATGCTTTATTCAAATCCCGGTTGGGGTAATTTTTTTCACACTTGCTGATTCCGTTTTCAATATATATATATAATTAAATATTTTTTTCAAAATGCTGTAATCTAAAATCCCTTAAATAAATTAACCTTTTAAATTCTTAATTGTCATTCCGTGGACTCCGCCCTCTGGCCCGTTTCTTACGTACCACTGCCCGTTTCTGACGAGAGCGTAAGAAACGGGCAGTGGTACGTAAGAAACGTAACTGCCCGTTTCTTACGCTCTCGTCAGGGACATTCCCTTCTCCACCGCAGTCGGGCAAATCCTGGCGGCACCCATCAGAAATAAATATTTACTACAGCAGTAGTAAACTTTTACAGTGCTGTAACCTGTCTCTTATACACATCTTGTTGGCTAACCTATGTAAATTCTATAGACTGGATACCCTATTCACTTCCCTATATCCGCCACTGCTATCTATCATTTATTCGTATCAGCATCGAGCGAAGTCTACGACTGTGGAAATTACCTCAATCCGCTGTTGAACATTCAACAGTATAGGCCTATCAATCCAGTCTTCTAAACTCTTCCACCTCTTTCTTCCTGATGTTTTTTTTTTGTGTTCTGGATAATAAATTTAGGCTAATGTATTAAAATTCAGAATTGACTGAGTCAATTCAATCACTGGTTATATTTTTTTCCCCATTGATTCAAATACAAGGCCCATACCAGGGCTAAAAAAAACTAGGTCCTATCGCGATAGAGGAGCTGATATCAGGCTGACCAGTGAGCTCACAGACTAGGAAGTAGCGCATGCACAAAATGTGGTCTATATGAAGCGTTATGGATAATTCATTAACATTTTACCAAACTTACCTACGAAAAATAAATTGCTGCCTGCACTAGACCGAAAGGTGGCGGCAAGCCTAATGTCAGACTTTTCACAATACAGAGCACGTAACTGCAAAATAGTTGGTAAAGACAAAATATATTTTTACCGAATTAGGGTCACCACCAAATGCGGCAATATTTTCTTGGACGTACTTAAATGCAAGTCGTTGGTCTAAAATGGCAAAGTTTCCATTCAGGCTTTCATCGATACCGTCGGCAACCAAGAAACCCAATGCGCCTTGGAAATCAAAGGAAAGTGTTGTCAATACGTTTACATGTCAACAGAATCAATATCAAATTTACTTGGAAAATAAAATAGCACAAGTCCTTTATGAAATCACAATTCAAATATATCTTTGTTGTGTTACTATAATGAGTTATTTAGCTCACGTATAGAGTAAGGTATACATGAGTTTAAAATCTTGAGTTTCTGAGGCGGCGCTCAGATAATTATATTCCGAGTTTTGAGTAGGTGATTGACGTCATTTATAAGGGCGGTTGCTTTTATTTAAAATTTGATTCCTACAAACATAATATTACTTGATTTCTTTAATGCTCACTTTTTGTCGGTGACAAAAATATTTACAAAATACAGAAGCTTACCCACTCTATAGTTAATCACCACCATTATTGTATTTGTTGTGTTTGCTAAATGCTGTCCATCGTAAAGTAATGTTGCAGCTCCACCATGGTCGAAGTTTCCACCGTGAATAAAAATCATTACTGGAAGGCTATCAGATTCTTTCACATTGAGCGGAGTGAATATGTTCAAATACAGGCAATCTTCATCAAACTCAAAAAAAAAGAAATAATAATAATAATAATAATAGGCACTTTAGGCAAGAGGACGGCAATTCGGGTTAAGCGCCCAAATGTTTGTTGTGGTCTTCATCGCTCTGATGAGCATAGAACCACCGTCCAAGCGCCTTCTTGTCCTGCTGGGTAAAGTGCCTATTAATATTGGTTTGTGAAAAGTTAATACACGGATTAAACATTGAGTTTGATATTGGCATGTGTGTGTGGGGGAGGGGGTTGCGTGTGTGTGTGTGTGTGTTATTTTGGTGTTATTAGAAAGATAAGTTAAATAAGACTTATTAATTTTGTTTCAGATTTAATTGGAACGCTTTCCCTTAATTAATCCAATCATAATTATGTATCATGGGTTTCGCTAGTGGAGGTGGGTGGATTGGGGGAAGCTCTCTCCCGTCGGGAAACAATCCAATCTCAAGTCAGGGGGAAAATCATTTCGACAGGAAGAAAAAAATTAAATATTTTTTTCAAAATGCTGTAATCTAAAATCCCTTAAATAAATTAACCTTTTAAATTCTTAATTGTCATTCCGTGGACTCCGCCCTCTGGCCCGTTTCTTACGTACCACTGCCCGTTTCTGACGAGAGCGTAAGAAACGGGCAGTGGTACGTAAGAAACGTACCACTGCCCGTTTCTTACGCTCTCGTCAGGGACATTCCCTTCTCCACCGCAGTCGGGCAAATCCTGGCGGCACCCATCAGAAATAAATATTTACTACAGCAGTAGTAAACGTTTACAGTACTGTAACGTATCATTACTCAAAAAGAACAAACAAATACCCACGAAAATACAATCGTTAATATAAACATCGAGTTTCCACGCTATTAAAGTCTAATACAAAGTTATACTGGTATGACAAACAAAAAGACGTAATAATAAACAAAAACAAAGCAGTGGCGATGACTAATTTAATTAGCAACAAAAGCATGTCCAAATATTTTTATAATTTTTAATAAAAGGCATAAATAAGGACTGCTTCAATGACGCTTTAAAGAAAGAATCATAAGTAAGCCTGGTATCACTTTCAAACCTACGAACAGATGTAAGCCATATCAGAATAATTAAAGTTAATTAGTTTCAATGTACCAGCTTGTTGTTTCTGTATCGTATTTAGCGCCCTGTTCTCTATTATAATAGCTGGATTGTTCATTGGCTGGTTTTAGTGAGGCCACCGACGCCAAGTTATAGAGCCTAAGTGACGTATAAGTTTAGACAAGTTTCTTTTAGCACTTGTTTAAATTACTGTTAAAAATAACGATATTCTTGCAAAACTTTTCAATAATAAATTTGAATTTAAGGTAATGATTATTTTTTAGATCATCTATCTACTTAATGTGACTTTATATGCAGTTTAAGAAAGCGCAAGCAAAGTTATTTGCGTTGTTAGGGATCGACGTCACTATAACGCGACTTCGCTCGCACTTTTGAAACTGCATAAACAGTCGCATCTAGCGGTTAGATGGTTTGAAAATAAAATTCCTACGTTAAATTTAAATTTATTATTGAAAAGTATTGCAAGAATCGTTATTTTTAACTGTAATTTAAACAAATGCCAAAAAACTTTTCTAAACTGGTACGTCACTTTGGCCCTCCAACATGGCGTCGGAGGCCTCACTTTTTTCTGTACCAGGATTGGCCGATGAGCAATCCAGCTATTATAGTATAGAAATCAGTGATTTAGCAAGTCCTTTTGTATTGAGTGTGATTAATAACAAAAATGAGTTATATTACCACTTCTGGGCAGGTACCAATTGGGTCTCCACAAACTTGCGGACATGCCGGTGGCTGACTGATACTCAAGAATGTATTTTCACCCATTGACAGAGGTTCTTCTGGAGCCTTCCAACGCCTTTGCCCAACCGGTGGCATCGCATAAGGGATGCCGTAAAATATCCGTGAACGTTCTGATACTAGTCCTTGCAGTGCGCCATAATTTGTGTACACAGGGTCTGTGTAACTCTGACACGAATCTGTTTCTGCGTGCCCCACACTTTTTGCAAAAATCGAGATAACAGGACAGTTAAGAAAAATATACCAAACTGCTAAAGTACTGAACATCATGGTGAGAAGATTATATCGCCGACTTCATTGAACAACTGACAATAACACTTCTAGTACGTCAGATACAAACGTCAATTAAAGTGTACGGAAGAGTTGGTGATTTTTGCGGGTGTAGAAACCACTAAATCGAGTAATAAAATCGGATGACATTCGCAGTTAATCGCGTAGAACAAGTATATTGTGCAATCTTTAAGTGTGCATATGATTTAGCGGGTATTACAGAATGCATTGTCATACTTCTTATTCATATTTTAATAGCAGTACGTATTACAAACAGATATTGTTTTTCAAATATATTAGTCGCACTAGAATGCATACGGTAGGGAATGCAATCTATCTCAATAGAGACACAACCAGATATTCATCAATTGCAGTGAATTTATTATTTATGATGTTATGACAAAAGCAGATCTCTGCACACATTATCACATCTCTCTGTGATGTTTAATTGTAGGAAGATACTGTTGGTTTCTACACAAATTGTTTCTAATTATAATTTCTTTATGTGTCCGTTTAAATACTGAATAAGTTCGGATGTGCAAATGATATAATACTAGAAATATAATACAATATAAATGTCTTTAAAATTAAATTTATATTATTATATAAATCAAATTTTGTAATGAGTGCCTTTCTGAAATTTGTCTGATGGTAATCTGATGCCAAATTTAAAGTCTATATGTTTATTACACGGTATCTTCAATTACATTATTTCATAACTTTACCAAGAATACAATAGCAATATCAAGGGCTCTAATCATTACAGTTGAATACTTCACATCAAACAAGGCTTGTCCCCGATAGTATACATCTCTCGTTTGTTGTATGTATGATTGAATTTGCTTGAATACGTGTTGACAGGATATTATGGTTCTTTTCCTTATAGACAATACAATATGTTGTCCCAATAGTTGTGAAGAGAGCTTAACTTAGGCCAATTCAGGACAAACAATGTCCAAACAATCGGCCGATGCGATGCCATTGGCCATCGATGCTGGTAGTACTTTGTTCCGTGTAGATGACCCTCAGTACACTTTGCTGGTATGCATGAATCAAGAAGTTATAAATAATAAGTGTTCTTTAGTCTTATTCTTTATACCAACTTGCTAGGATTTTGTAATGCCCTTTTTATATTTCTTGTTTTAACACTATATTAAAAAAAAATTCAATAGCTACCAGCCATACACCCCGATATAGAAAGGAAGGAGAAATGTCGATACTGTACATCATAAACTGATTATTTGAGAGATTCCATGGTCATGGCATCTTCTTGGAGATAAAAACAGAGTTTCTGCTCGTCTGTTTGAAATACTGTAGTATGGTAAACAGTACAGACTTGGCTGATGATGATGATGATGATGATGATGATGATGATGATGATGATGATGATGATGATGATGATGGTGATGATGATAAAGATGATGATGATGATGGTGGTGGTGATGATGATGACGATGGTGGTGATAAGGGTGGTGGGGTGATGGCGGTGGCGGTGGTGGTGGCGGCGGCGGCGATGATGTTGATGATGATGATGGTGGTAGTGGTGATGATGATGATGACGATGGTGGTGATGGTGGTGGTGGCTGTCTCTTATACGTGGTGGTGGTGGCGGTGGCGGTGGTGGTGGCGGCGGCGATGTTGATGATGATGATGATAATGATGATGATGATGATGATAATGCACAATAAGTAATTTAAAATGTTAAAATGAGCAGTTAATTAAATTCAAGCGTTCTCAAAACCCTCACAGTCAAGATGACACCACTCTCCCAATATTGTAAATGCTGTACTGTTAACCTCTCATCAACATAAACTTCTTAAAATCTAGGTGAACTGTCTTTAACTTAGGGTATTATACATGTCCATTTATATAGGCTAAATAACTCAGTCAATCGGCTTACATAGTATTGTTGAAGCAACATTATATATATATTTTTTAATATTATATTTTATATAGGTTTTGTTAAACATGAGTCTATACCCCTGGTTCTTAATTAATTTGTTTTAAAGGGCTAAAAGTTGAGTTGAGTTGAGCTCACGGGCCAACATTAATATCTGAGTGATGAAGCAATTCGTTATAATGTTTTTGGTAATTTCAAATTCTACTTTTTGTTGTGCTACACATATTAGCGTACTGTAAACATAAAAGAATGTAAAAACAATAAGAAATTACATTCTGTGCATAACAAACGTTAGTTATATAAACATTTAACACACACATACATGTGAAGGAGCTACAACCGATGACATTGAAAACATACCTTACAAGTGGTGACATAATCTTCGTTTTTTATGTTAAAAATGTGTGTAATGCTATATCTGTGAGTAAGCAAGGGATGTTTAGCAACAGCCCTAACATTGAGTAGGCCATTGCATAACTGAGTACGAGTATGTCACAAGATACCGCTGCTTATTTTTACAACACACAACGTGTGTCTATGAACTTAGATATTTCACCAGGTGGTATATAGAGGGAGCTCTCACTGTTTAAAGCTATTTTGAGAACTGGCGACGTCATCGCTTGTGAGTATGTCATCTCTAAACAGGTGTGTCTTCACAGGTGTGTCATCGGTTGGTATGGGTTCACAGAAGCCCACACACACACACACACACACACACACACACACACACACACACACACACACACACACACACACACACACACACACACACACACACACACACACACACACACACACACACACACACATATATATATATATATATATATATATATATACACCTTGACACTCAACTAACAGGTATTTCCTTAGCTAGAACTTACTTAATCTTTGGTATTTGATAGAAAATTAATATTTTTGTTTGATCTCAGTGGTAAAGACAAGCTAGCGTACAAACTAAACATACACGTGATGTTGTCACTAACATACACGTAAATGTTGTTAGTGGAAATGGCACAAGGGTTGTGTTTTTTATTTTCACATTTTATAATATTAAATTTACTGAAAACAACAATTACAATTAAATAGACATTTTGTTAACAAGGACAAAAAACCAATTTCCTCAAAGTACAGACATTTCTCGTTTAATTAATATATATTGGTTTTTTTTTTTTAATAGGGGGTTGCGTTTTTGTTTTCACTTATAGTGGGACAATCATTTATCAAATGACTTTAATTTTATTACGTTTCTCTGCAGATATTATTCTCCTGAAGACGATCGAAGCAACTCAATCGAAACGTCGAGACATTCTCAACAAACAACATTATATATATTATTACTTCGCCATGCAAACCCTTAACAAATACCGTATATAATTTTATTTCTATTTGCTCTTTTTTTCACAAGGGCTAGATTCAATGACTTCATGGGCCGCCTATTAAGAACCAAGCGCCATACCATAAATCATTGCATCCTATCGATGTACTGTAATGTTAGGCAAGTAAAAAGACATCTATCGACAAAATTAATTAAATTATATATTTAATAACTTTAATTAATAATTCGTTTATTACTTTCATATCTATATATCCCACAATACTAGACATCCCAGGTGATAATTTTATAATAATTTAAACTCTACCACATGCAGTCTGATGGCGCACATCTCAAGACGTGGAACGTGGGGTTGGCAAAGTGTCAGTACGGGCCGTCAAACAGGTTGTGGTTCGAATTTCTTACTTTCTTAAAAAAAAATATGTCTGCTTGTCTGTCACTAATGGGTTCCTCTGGATGGATGCTGTCGCATCGAATTCATCTGTTTGTGCACAATACACTGCAGTACCGCAAGGTTATGCAATCCCTATGCAAAAAGATGCAAATGAGCCGGTTTGCCAACAGTGACCACATGTAATAACGTCTTATTCTTTTGATCAAAAGGCAACGGAACTAGAGGGAGGAAGATGTGTGATAATGCATAAAAGAGCATGGCGCATTTTAGAGTGGGAAAAGATGGGACAGACATATTGAAGTTGGTTTATACCAAAAAGAGCCACCCGGTATATTGTATTGAATGAGGGTGCGGAACATTAAATTTTAATAGGCGTGGTATGGGGAGGTGGAATTTATGAAGATTGCCGTGCGTCTTCAATTTGTTGTAGAATTTTGGTCACGGCCACAGATTAGGGAAGGTTTGCCATGATTGTTATTATAGACCACGTATTGTCACATAAAAAAAAAAAAAAATAGGCATAGATTTTATAAAAGAACATGTAGTATGACAGGCAAACACAGAGAAATACACTTGATAATTATAGTACGCACAACTCACTTCAAAAGAAAATACTGTGCAAAACATCATAGCAGATAATGCAGGGCGTGCGCGGAGACGCTTTTACATGCGTCAAATTCGTGACGTAGTATCATGATTGAGGTGTGTCAATGTGAATGCTCACGTCATCAAAGTGACGTCACAACAATTGTTATTAATTTTGGTCTGATAATAATGATTAGCCCTGCAATTTTTGGCTGTGTTAATTTAATAGTAAAACTGCAGAAATAAACAATGTCCAAACACTGCGCGTCGTTTTTTCGTATTCTGCCAAATCTGTTATTCAATTGCTTCTCACATTCTCGCCAGACTGCGTTTCGGGACAATGTGTCTATTGGTATTGACTATAAGACAAATAAGTTCTGGGTATTGACATTAATGTGGGATCACCGCATACCGTTAACAGAGTTTTGGTACATCGACCACTATTAACACAAACGTATCGACTCATAACCTATTGTATCCCAGAAATCACAAATTCTCTCTTGGAAATCTGTTTCAACTTTACTCCATGGTGTTTTAAAGTGCATATATGCCCATTCATCTGCCGATGTATAGGGTAGCCATTTTGTCAGATAATTACTTTTGTTCGACAACTGTTGGTTTGGATCGCCAGAATGAGCAAAGTTTGCCCAGTACTTAACCATATCATCTGCGAGATTTAACTCATAATTGGTGTATTTATAACCGGCAAGTGTAGCATCGTGGAAAACAAAAGGTAGATCAGACGAGTGGCAGACGTGCCCTCGGCAGAATGAAAAATTACCCCATGCATCTTTAAAAGAAAAAGCGTGATCAAACATGTACGAATATAAGACAGGCACACCTTGCTTTACCATTTCTCTGGTAATGTTCCTCGTAGAACACGTAAATGCATAGTCAGTTAACAATCGGGCGAGTAAATTACGATGGTCAGCTTCTAGTGGGTCGGGGACGTATCGAAGTAGAACTCTATATGCATCCTGACGAAATAAAGCAAGTAACAACTCCACACTTTCCAAAACTGAAACCCTACTACTAAAAGCTTCATAGACAAATAACCTGCCCTCTTCGGTTAGAGACCCTACAATTAGCGGTTTGTGCTGGAACATGCCTTGTCGCACTGCATCCATAGGAGACAATGGAATAAGATCTCCACCGACTGTTGGGCCCCATGCTTCGAACAGTTGTAGCAGATGATACGCATCAGGGAGTATTTTAGACGCCGCTTTAATCTGTGCTTTGACGATTTCGTCTGCAGTACAACTCCGCATACAGGCAACATCTCTAAGAGGACACAATAGATACAGAGCTAAGTAATCACTTAAATACAAAGCACTTGTGTGCTTTCTAAAAGGAAGAGTGAATGGATTACTCTGGATGATGGCACGATGGAAGAGGTGGTTACTGGAATTGGAGACCAGATGAAGGCTGACAGATTGAGCACCAGCACTCTGGCCAAACAACGTCACCTAAGATAAAAATTAATATGAAATTTGTTAAATGGCATTATGTGAAACACACACTGATGGAATAATTTATTTATTTCAACGATTATTCTACGGTGTCTTAATAACAAAGTACACAAAATAAGAATTAAATACTAATTATCACAATTATTTAATTAGATCAATAATCCAATAGGGACGATGTTAAAAACAATGACACAACGTTTTCCATAGAAAGAACTATTTGTTTTGTTAAAGAATGTCTTTATTTCATAAATAATATCAGAGATAAATCCAGATATTTTTCTCCTAATGACGATTGACGCAACTCAGTCGAAACGTTGAGGTATTCTCTATTAAACAATAGTTCTTTCAGAACTATGGCGTGGTGTACCGAAATGCCATCTTTAACTATATATCAATATACAAACAAACATGCCATCTTTTACTGTATCATAACAACGAAACATGCCATAATGTTATTAAATCGGTGTCGGGCGAGGGAGCTTTCCCCGTACCACACTGGCGCCACTACTATTTCCATGCTCATAATATGTAAGAAGCGGTTTGGCGCAGCGGGAACGGTTTGGTTTCCCAACCTCGAGGTCGGGGTTTCAATCCCTCCCTGTGCATTTCGCTTGCGTCCTTAAGCAAGTCACTTTATTGCGTTGCTTCTCTCCACCCAGGAGTATAAATGGGTACCCGGTGGGGTTGCCTGCTCCTGCGCTGATTACCAGCTGCAACACTTAGCATGTGGACCCAATGACCAGGGAAAGGAACTGCGCTTTATAACCGCAAGGAAGAGGCGCATTATAAATGCCCTAACTAGTAGGCCTACCAGATAATATCAATGCATCCGATGATTGTTTCTTTTCGCTCAAGTCCTAGTTTACCCACACAAAACAGTTAAGATAGCCTATCGCATGTACTGTCAGACAAGTTTCAGATCATGGAAGCAGTTTTCTAATGCACGCACCTTATCAGAGTCACCACCAAAATTGCCAATGTTGTCCCTGACAAACTGCAGAGCAAATTGCTGGTCAATAAAACCTAAGTTTCCGTCCACACCATCTTCTCCAAAAACAGCAAACCCCAATGCTCCTGTAAAAACGTACTATTTTTGTTATTTGTCAAATGGTAATATTCAACCGTCATTAAAAAAACAAGATTTATCCTTAACATAAAAAAATATGAAAGCAATTAGCAGATTGAAAATGACGTAAATATACTGATCAGGTGATATTATTAAATATTGTTGAATTCATATTATTATTGTAACTTGTGTATTTTATACAAAATAGTGCAAAAACTCAGTACACTATCAATTATAGGAATGATTAAAATGGTTAAAATCCTGTGGATCGGTCTGTTATTGCACACAGATATTAGAGTAATAGGTTTATGGTTAAATATTAATAATTAAACTAATTAGAATATTGTAATATATTGGTATTTACCATTAATCTTATGGGCCTAAATCGCAGGTTTTCTTGTTTTCTAGTATATATCATTTGACATGTTGATTGATTAATACACAGATCCCACAATTTGCTCATTATGCAAATAAGTTTACAATCAAACGGTTATACTTTTGGCATCATTGCTGATTTTTTTTTGTGCATATTTATTATAAAATCATCAAAGTAAAAGCATCTGGAAATTAAAAAAGAATATTGGGGCCCAGGGAGGGACTTTTGGAGAAGGAGAATCTAGAACACTTCAGCCCCACCATGGATGGGGCTGCAGTAACGAAGTTTATGATTAACCTCTTAGACATAAATTGGAATATAATTTGCTTTGTTTATCTTTATTTTTAGAAAGAGGGCCCGGGCCGGCTGGGTTTCAAGGGATCTAACAATGAATTTTTTAAAGTCAAAACCTTCTCAGCGAACCGGGGCATTTTCTTAAGATGATGCTGTTAATGTTGTTATTATTATAACAAAGAGGATATGAGACGGAGACACCCCACCCCCTGACAGGGACGTAGCCAGGATTTTGAAAGGGGGGTAGCCGTTATGCGAATTACGTAGGACCCCGGCGGGGTCAAAGGAGGGTGGGGGCGAATCCCCCTGTGAAGTAGCGCAATCTGAACGATCTTAGGACTGTTTGAAAGGATAAAGTGAAAATTGCAATAGACGCATTATAAATAAGTGCAAAAATAATTATATAATAAATCAACAGTGGCAGATCCAGGAATTCGAAAGAGAGGTAAACCAGCTGGGAGGGACATTCACAGACTGAGGAACCACTCTCCTCAGCCCCACCACGGTTGGGGCTGAGGTAAGAAAATTTATGAGTAGGGCATCTCTAGACGGCCGGAAATTACACTCTCGCACTTCAATTTGAATATATTTTTCTTTTTTTTCCTTAAAAAATGAAGGGGTGGGGACCTTGAACCAAGAATTCTTTATCCAGAAGTCATAATCACGAAAAATGGACATGAAAAACCAGATCACATCCTAAAAACAAACAGCAGTCACTAAGACATACATCAGGAGCCGACTCGATGGAGTTTAATGTCATACCCATGGAAGGACACAGATCTGTTCTGAAAGGTGGAGGGGGAGGGCATTTTGTGAGTCGACACCCACCTCAGCCCCACCATGGTTGGAGCTGAGGTGAGAAAATTTGAAGAAATAGTACCTCTAGATGGCCAGAAATGACACTTTTAGTAAAATTCATCATCATCACATCACCATTAGTCAATATGAAGCGCCAAAAAAAAAAAAAAAAAAAAA